GATTTTATTAAAATGTTAAGAGCCCTGCTGGCGTAGCTCAGCAGATCCTGGAAAAGAAAGAAACTACAGGCCACAGGCCTCCTTCCCAACAGCAGGATAATGAAAGTCATTTGCAACTACTCACTTAGCAGGGTTTACCCATTCCCCTACCTCAACTTTCTTCTGAAGTTCTCTTCTAGCCCTTTCTAGCAGTCTCTCTATATCTAAGTTCTGCTCCTTTTGTGTAACTCATTCAAAAAAAAAAAAAAAAAAAAAAAAAAAGCCTAAGACAGTTTAGACACTACCAAGTGTCTAAACTACTAAGACACTACCAAGCCAGCATTGCAAAAAATGCTAAGGGGATGGGCACAGACGCTGGGGGATGAGGGCATGTGTATCAGGATGGGGGTGGCTGGGGAGAGCTCAATGGGGGTAAAAGGAGACATATGTAACACTATATGTAGTATTTAAACAATAAAGAATTATTTAAAAATGGAAACAAACAAGTACCTATCAATAATAACCTTAAACATAAATGGATTAAATGCTCCAATCAAAAGATATAGAGTAGCTGAATGGATATAAAAGATCACCCAACTACATGCTGTCTACAAGGGACCCACCCCAGAACAAAAGACTCACATAAGATGAGAGTGAAGGAATGGGAAAAATCTTCCATGCAAATGTAAACAAAAAAAACAAAACTGGGGTGGCAATACTCATATCTGACAAAAAAAGCCACACTCTGGGTGAGCCCGTTGGGAGTTAAGCGGGCATGCGCCCAGTTCCTGGGTCCAGGCACATCAGATTTGGGGAGTCCTGAGGGTGGGCCCCTTCTTCCAGAACACCATTCTCTGCCTGGGCCTCATCTCTATGCCTTTTTTCTGGAGGAGCCTGTCTGCCTCCCCTTCCCCGAACCCTCAGCTCTGAACTTGTCATTGAACGACGGTAGTGCATCTGATCATGTCGTCAGACACCAGATGGGCCAGGAGTGCACACCAGATGCATCCGGGCACTGGGAGAAATTCAAAGATAAACACGATGCTGGTGCCCAGGTTGCTACGATCTGAGGGTCCTGCGGCCACGACAAAGGGGAAAGAGAAGCCAGGGCTCCAGGCAGAAGAGGGCGTGTTGGGAAAGCCCGTAAGGCGGGTGGGACTGGGGGTCGGTGTCTCCTCCAGGGAGAGCTGCCAGTAGGACAGTTGATCCGGGGCCCAGGGCTGTCCCAGGGCTGTTCTGGCCGCTATCCTTGCTCCAGGGCATGGGTCCGGCTTCTGATTCTTTGGCAGCAGGATTTGTGTGTTTCACTGGAATTGCAGGCAGCACCTGGGTGAGGTTACACTGGGGGGAACGCCCCTCCCCCCAATGGTATCTTTCAGGCCTGAGTGAGGCACTTAGACCCCGAGGTGGCTGCTGGAGCAAGATCTGCAGCTTCCTCCCGGTGAAGGTCACGTGTTATGTGATGCTGCCCTGTACGCTGCCCGTGGAGTCTGTGCTCACGGTGGCCCAGAGGTGAGCAGTGTGGGCAGCTTCGTCTGCGCTGGGATCCTGGGCATGTGCATTACTCGCTTTCTTCAGATGGCCTTGGGTGTCTCCTTCCTTTTTAGTGAGTTAAGCCAGCATGTCCTTCAGTCCATCTTCTAAAGTCCAACCCAGCCTTCAAAATCCAGCTCCTGGTCCCCCCCACCCCAACAAATGAGCCGCCTGTTCCCACGCCACCTGCCCTGCAGGGAGGTCCAGGCATGGGGTCCTTTCGTGCCCACGGCCACGGAGTCTATGGAGGCTGTGGTCAGGCTTCCTCTGCTGGACTCACACATGGTCAAGGGCAGTCGGGCTCGTGGAGCGGGTGGTGTCTCCACTCCAAGCTTCAGGCATCTTGAATCTGGGAAAACCAGGCTTCTCCTTTAATTGCCATGTTAATCCCTCGAGCTTTCCTGAATCAAAAGTGGCCTAACTTTGGTCCCTGGCCACTTTTTCTCAGTGGTTAGAGTGAAGGTCCAGGCTCCCATTCCAGTTAAGGGCACATCCCTCGGTTGCGGGATCCCCGGTGCATTGATAGTTCTCGGTTTTTCAGTCTCTCCCCCTCCCGGCCACACTCCGAAAATCAGTGGAAAGAATAGCCTCACGTGAGGAGTAACACGCACACAGATAATGTTTCACATAACCTTTCACACATGCTTGAGGATACTACACAGAAAACAGTTTTCCTACTGTGAGTGTTGACCAACAAGTTCACATAACACTGGCTAGTGAAACAGAAAGGCCAAATTTAGGCTTTTTTTTAACCAATACATTAATCAAAGAAGCAGCAATTCTAACACCAAAAGATCTCAATGAAAACAGACTTTCATTCTGTCCCCCTAGCACCTACAGCAGCACCAGGCACAGGGCAGCCCGTTGGCCAATTTCACTTGAATGAATGAATGAATGGATGAGTGAATGAATGCTTACTTTGTTTAAGATGCTACAAGGGATGCAAGCCATGTAAGATGCAGTTCCTACTGCAACTTCTAGAACCTTACACTCCAAAAGGATAAAACAAAAAAACGCAAACACAGCTAAACTGGGCACCGAGGGGAAAAGGTCCAGGAAGTGAGCAGCCATCCAGGTGCGGGAGCTAAGGAGAAGGTCTACGTAGGAAGTGACCTGAGCCGAGTTCCCAAAGACAGGAACGCCTGACAGCTGGTGATGGCTGTGCGGTGGGCGACGGAGGGCCGGGGTCCTGGCCTCCGGACTGGGACTTCACGGACCTTCGTTCCAGTGGGACACCCTGCCCTGCCGACTCCCTCGGACGCCATTGCACGCAGCTTGCTCCTCCATCGTTAAAGAATTTGTATTTTCCCTTGAGTAGGAAAGGAAATAGTTGATACACGTTGCTGAAATAGGAAAATAGAGAGACATTTAAGGAGGTAAAGATACAGTCCTGCTCAGTGGAGTTTACATTTGGGACGCCTTCCTTTTTTTCTGTTTTTTGTGGACGTGAGTTTATACACGTTAATGTATATGCTCATCTGTGGGTTGTTGACATATATGGTGTGTATAGATTTGTGTTCTCCCTGTTTTCATAAAAGTTTGTATGTTTTTTTAAAATTCTCACACGAGGATTTTTTTTCCCCATTGATCTTTTTTAGAGAGTGGGAGCGGGGAGGGAGGAGGGGAAGAGAGAGAGGAGTGTCAGCGTGAGAGAGACGTAGCAGTGGCTGCCCCAGTTCCCATCCCAACCCGGATCGAACCTGCAGCCCTTCGGTGTGTGGGCCGGCGCTCTAACCACTGACCAAACCGGCCAGCACTAACAAAGTCTTAAAGAAATTATAGCGTATACACCCTTCCCCAAGTCAGGGGAAGTTTTTCATAAGCAGCGTTGTAATGCTGCTCTGCTTGCACACGAACGACGCTGTGAGGAATGTGATTTTGTAAATAACTTGGAAGCATAAAGGCATTTAGTTTCTGGACTCTGGGACCTAACATTTCACCTCCACGTGGCACAGAAAATAATGCACAGAAATACATTCAGAAGTGTTGGGAGATTCATGTGCAAGGGTGCCCACGGTAGCCTTGTTGAGGATAGCAAACGTTCTGGAACTGCCAGGAGGGGGCTATTACATGCCCGCACAGCCGTGTGAAGAAGACGCGGAAGTATGAAAGGAATGGGGTTAGATGTCAATGAAATCCACCGTCGCTGTGCACCTGCCCGGGCTGGAGTGTTCTCCCCGCGCCCGAGCCAGGTTCCCAGTGTGCCCTCGACAGATGCACGGTGCCCTGTAGCCGTCTCACCGCCCACACGCCCCCTGCGCTCCCTGCTCAGCCCTCCCCCTGCCCGGCGCCTCCAACCCCTGAGCTTGTCACTGTCTCCGGCGTTTTGCCTCTTCCAGAAAGTCGCGTAGTTGGAATCGCACAGTGTAAAGTCTTTGAAGACGGCCTCTGTGTGGCATGTACTGTTCCTCTGAGTCTGTTTATAGCTGGATTGCTCAGATGCTTCTATCACCAAATGCGGTGCCATAAATAATTTTACACATAACGTTCCAGTTCACCAGTTCGCTGACCCACTCCCCTATCGGAGGCCCAGAAACCGTGTTTTTTTCTCCAAGCTCCCGGGGCTACTCTACGTGCACCCTCCCGGCGAGAGGCTCGCACACAGGGACAAAGAGACACCCACACGGCCTGCACCGAACATGGAAAACAAACCCCCGGGAATTAGGCGTCTAAACGCACAGCAAGCCGTTAGCATGCTCTTAGAAACATAGGAGCGGACGTAAGCATAAGACCTTTGAACACGGGAGGGTTTCATTCGCCTCAAAACGCATCAAATAGAAGGCTGACAGAGTTGGCTTTGGGATGTAAAAACCCCGTGTTTCCAAAGACGACATCAACGAAGCAGAAGCGATAAGCCACAGACGGGAGTATGTGTCTCGCGCACCATGTAACCAAAGTTAGTGTTTAGAATAAAAGGAACTCAAGTGTGTGCGTAAGAAAAAGGTGGGCTACCTACTGACCTTCACCAGGGGCCCAACGTGATGGTGGGGTCCTTCCCCTCGGAGGAGGGGACAGATGGGGGGTTGAGGGGAAGACTCTGCCCACCATTGCTGGCCCTGAAGGGGGAGGAGGGGCGGCGGGCCAAGGAAGAGAAGAGGGCGCCCTATCCATCAAGGGCCATGGGAAGGATGCAGAGAGAAAGGCTCTTTTTGCTGCTCCTGATGGCGAACAAGTGTTTTCTGCGGCCGCTGCCCTGGCTTCCTCTTCCTACTAAGAATCTTGGGGCCGAGCAGCTCGCCTCTGCCAGCTTCAGGCTGCGGTTCCCAGGAGCCCGTCCTTCTCCGTCGCACGGCTCCAAAGACGCCCC